GAATTTTCTGATTTTGTATATAACAAACTGTAAATTTCTTTTATTGATTGTAAATATCTACATCACTAGAAGCCTTTTTGTAGTAATTTATCATTTAAACACTGCAGTTACAAGTTTAATTTTAATATTTTGTTGTACCAATACACCAGACTGTTAATTAATATATAGGATTATATTTTAATCGCATTTTTATAACAAACTTGTCTCTTGTTACATTGGTTTAGTTTTTAATTTAGTTTTTATACTTAGTGTTTATCTGGTTTTTACATAACAAATTGTTATTTACTTTCACTTTGTATTTGCTTGAAAATAGGACACTACCAGAAGTTTTTTTAGGTAAACATTATTTTAAAAACTGCAGTTTTTTGTTTACCTTACACCAGACTGTAATTTAATTAAAGTAGGCCTATCATTATTTTTATACTACGTCTCTTGTTTAAATTATCTGAATGAATGTACTACGAATGTACATTCAGCTGTTAAACTACAATTCACACTTTAAACTGAAACAAGAGGTTCTACCCGTGAATTCACGGGTGAACAGAAACCACCATTAAATTAATTTAATCAACTTTGACTTTATATTTCATTTAAAGGGCCCATGTTCGAGAAATTTTCATGTGAAAGGATGTTAAAGGCAGTGGAACCTTCATACCTTACGTCCTAAGGTTGGCCGAGGTTGTACCTGAACACGCAGCTCTCTTTCACGACATCTTTAATACTTTTCAATGAAATTGCGATCTGTTAAAGATCGGTGACAACCTCTTGGAACGAACAACATACATGGTTTGTTAATCTCATAGTCATCATGGTTCGAACACCTTTAGTTACTCACTTGTAACAAACAGCTATAAATAGCTTCACTGTCCATTCACCGCGACTCTTTTAAGAACGTAAAAGTAAATAATAAAATAAGTAAACAAAAATGTAAACAAACAAACTATATTGTCGATTGCATTGGCCAGCTGTTGTTCACTAAATTAACCTATATATTAATTTGAAACTGTTTTTCTTTGCCACAGCTATTTTGAGAGAATGGCTGGGCGTATAAACTTATAGAGGTGTCTAAAGAAAGATAAGTAAACAAAAATGTAAACAAACAAACTATATTGTCGATTGCATTGGCCAGCTGTTGTTCACTAAATTAATCTATATATTAATTTGAAACTGTTTTTCTTTGCCACAGCTATTTTGAGAGAATGGCTGGGCGTATAAACTTATAGAGGTGTCTAAAGAAAGATAAGTAAACAAAAATGTAAACAAACAAACTATATTGTCGATTGCATTGGCCAGCTGTTGTTCACTAAATTAATCTATATATTAATTTGAAACTGTTTTTCTTTGCCACAGCTATTTTGAGAGAATGGCTGGGCGTATAAACTTATAGAGGTGTCTAAAGAAAGGTCTTGGTCTGTAGATGAGCCATCAAAAGAAAAACATGGTGAATTCCCTTGGGGCTCTGCCCCCATGGCCTTTAAATTCCCATCCCATGCTATTCTTATGGAGGAAAACGGGGTTTTTGTCACAGCTAATTTGAGAGAACGGCTGGGAGTAGAAACTTGGTAGGGGTCTCTAAAGAAAGGTCTTGGTCTGTAGATGAACCATCAAAAGAGGAAAGAGGTAAATTCCCTTGCGGCTCTGCCCCAGAAGCCTTTAAAGTTGCCTCTTCAGATTTGTTTACATTACGACCATATGCATAATTCTACACTACTTTTTAATGCAACAGCTGTTAATATTTAAATTGTGATTAATTGAATTTGTCAAAATGAAGTACAGTATTTGCAATGGATTTTTCTGATTTTCTGCATCGTGTCATGTTTTGCAATATAATGTTCTATTACCAAATCATTGGAAAATCCTAATATCACAGTAACTTTTAAAATTATTTCTTATGGAGTTAACTTATATCTATTGTATGGGTTGGTTTCTACCTTTTTTACCACTTCTTGGAAATTGTACGTAGGTGATATTCTTTGGCATATTGCATCTGTAGACGAAACTTGGGTTGGTGTAATAATTACAATGGAAAAGAGCGAGAAATCCTGATACAATTTGATATAGGCTAAAAATAAAACTGAATTAACACTGTGCTACATTTCTTGAGCAACCATTGAAATAACCGATGGAAACATAGAAAAAGTCATAGAACACAACCAAGTAGAAGAAATAGAAATAATGTTGTTTTTTTACACTAAAACACTAAAAGACAAGATCAGCTTTTTGAAAAAAGAAAAGATATTTACAAAGGATTTTCATTATATCTAACTGTTGTGTAGATCGTGAGTATTTCCATAATCTTTGAGTCGCCTGTAATGCTTCGCAATTGCTCGAATTCGAGCAACAGGTACACTAGTCAAATAATAACTTCCAAAACATGCAAGGCGTAGCCTTTTGAAAATCAGCCTGTGGGGCAGAGCCCTTAGGGAGTTCGTCCATATCAATACTTTTCGGCAAAATCTACACACTCTAAGCTTCATTTTGATATGCCATATGCCTATATTTTTATTTGGTAAATGGCCTTAATCGTTAACATAAAATTTGATTGTATCACTGTAATAATATAATATACTGTTGTATGGATAATATTTTTGTACTATTGAGTGGATGGATTCTTGTAAACAAGCCTTGAAATCATATTAAGTGAGACTAATTCGTCAACGTTTGTGATTTATGAAAGCTATAGTGACAATAGGCGGATGGTGGCCCCACCTTCTGCAGTAGCCTATCTATAAAAGCTATAATGTATATACAAAACTATAATATCTATAACTAATATTATGATGGTCAATTTATACATATCCACTGTTTTTGTATCTTGAACTGAGGTGACACATATGTCGTCAAATCGTCGTTAAAATTGGTTAAAAACTGTTTAAATATACAACTTTTAGCACGGTGTTTGTAACTAAACTAGCCCAAACTTAGATTTAAATCCATCTAATACCTGCTCTTGCTCTGGAGTGCTCTGGGACTCAGGTCCTTCTTGGAAGTACCGTACCTAATCCTATTCATAGTTTTTGGCCAGCTTGCTGTGTCAAACACCCCATATCACCCCTTCCCTACTTCCCTCTTACCCACAAAATCTTTTCAATTTACCTATAGGGAATCTTTTGGGGACAGCAGACTCAGAGCTACCCACGTTCCCTATTGTTTGTTGCGGAGGGTAAGTTTCTCATAATCACCCCAGGCCGAAAGTCCTACACTCGTGACTGAGTAGTGAGTAGGCAGTGACGGTTGACCAGTTTTCTACAGGGAGAGTGTTAGGCCTGTAATGCTGAGCACAATGTCAACCGGGCTTTCACTGAGTTGCTCATGCCTTTCTCCAGCCTCGCCTCGCCGCCGGCCCTGCCTCCCCGTCATCACTTATCTCGGTGTCCTCGGTGTGTTTATGTCATAAGAGAACGGTAAAAAGTGTTGTAGTCAGCAACCTTGAGTTATGTTTACATCACTACAATAGTGAAGGTCCTAGGTCAGTGACTACGACGGTGTTAAAAAACGTAGATCGAAATATGTTGTATTCTTTGTTATCTTATAACTACAGGTATAAAGATTATACCTGATTAGCCAGATTATAATATTTAAAACTGTATTCCGCAACAGCAACACATCTCTACCAACCAAATTTCAACGTTAGCTAGGGACAAGATCAGGATCAAACAAACGACAAAAAATAACACACGCAACATTGAAACACTCAACAGTTTACGTATCAAACTGCAAGACATAACATCTATTTCCAGCCTGTCACGTGGCTGAGGTTACACCATTTATGGCTAACCGCTAGTAAAAACTCCATAAAGTAAAACGTGTAACAGTTATGGCCGGAGGAAGCACTTGAATGCCACGTCACCCGGGCGAGGCACTTGAAATAATAATGATCGTAAGTGAGTACATAAATATCCACAAGTGGTTTTCTGAGTATACAACCTTCTGTAACTGAGACTGAACACTGAAGTTTATATCTTCCACTCACTAAACTGTGAAAGCTGTTATCGCTCGCTCCAGGCAATATGTGATTTAATTGAAATTCAAATCACAACTTTACGAATATTGATCAATATTCTTCTCCCATCGAAAAGTGAAGCATTGGTTAGTTTTTTATTGATCATTATATCCAGGATTGTTTGTTGACGGTATAAATAATACATATAAATTGCATATTTATAATTATACATATAAATAGTATAAATAATTACATACCTTACGTCGTTAATCCTAATCCCTAATTTGGTCTCGTACGATTAGCTTCGAAACAACGGTTTAATTTTCAAGCCTCTTGCATCGTAAATTCATTACATAATCGTCGTCAATACACTCAAATAAAACATTTCACACACGATGCGCGGCCGGCCATATCAAGCGCGATGACTTCTACTAAAAATATTAAATTTGTAGTACATTTCGTTGGCTAAGAAGCGAGCATTAGACATCAAAGGAAAGTAAATCGGAAACACTGGTACATATTTTAGTTCCAGATGATGTTTTGAATATTTGAATACTTAACAAAACTTTTCACTCAAGAGAGTGGTGTAATATTTACATTTAACCGTTCATCCCTCGACGACACTTCTTGTAAACTTCCAGGAAATTTTAAAAACATCAATAAATACTATTTTGTAAATTTCCGAGGATAAAAAATAATGAGCTCGCAAATATGCAGGTTCTTATACAATGATAACGTCAGTTAAAGATTTTAATGTTTATTTCACCATGTTACTTATCATCGTTGACTTCTCATCCTGTCCTTTTAAAAGGGTTCTCGTAACTAAATCAAAGATATTGTTATGCTTGTTTGATAACATATCACGGATAAAACGATTTTGACAACGGCATCATATTCCTAAAACAACATAATAATGTGTGACGATGAGACATGGACTAGGAGGAGAGGTTGTGTAAATAAGTGTGTTCCACGATCATGCATCAGAAAAAATCGTACAACTGAACAGAAACACAAAATTCACCTCGAACATTATAGTATGTTTAATGGATTTACTCACCATTCTGTCTCGCTCATCTTCCACAAGCGCGATGAGCTTGCCGAACTCTCCCAGAGACTTGGATATGACGAGCTCATCGTCTGTCTGCGAGGTGCCGATACAGTCGAAGCTGAAGTTCTGTAGGGAACAGGACAACGTGCGCTGAGCCCTCGACAGATCTGCGGACAAGAGAAAATAACTGTATGAGACACGGGTGTATCAAAACTCGAAACAATGTTAGGAGGTTGATGGAATCTCTAACCTTATGATTTGCCCAAGGCCTTGTCTCTTACGCGTGAAATGATAGAAAACACAGCAAAGCAAGGAGTGATCCGGTATGGAACAGGAATAGTACGTAGTGATAAGATTTCTTTTACAGTTCCGGCATCGGGATTCCAACCCACCACATCACTGTCAATGGTTCTGTAGTAAGGATAGAGCGGTGCACTCTGTAGTAAGGAGAGTTATTGAGTCAACAAAGTAGGGGGGGGGGGGGGGGTTAATCGGAGTCGGTCACTGATTAGGAGCCGCTCGAAAAACTGCACCAACTGAAGAAGTGTTTCCCTTGGGTGCCAGAGTGACTTTTAACTAGACACCAAAGTTGTCAGGTAAAAGTAACCGTAGGTACACAAGTTTAAAATAACTATTTTTTGCAACCACGTGAAAGTAATCAACATTAAAAAAGTTTATAAAAATCACAATAGAAAATGTATTGAATGTGTTTTGTTTTCAATAACGTGTAAATAACAACCATGCACAAGGAGGAAATCCAAACAATTCAACAAGTTTCCACGACTACTGCTGCGGTCAAGTCTATTAACGGCGGAACTAGCAGAATATTTCCTGGCCGCGCAAAAACCAGTCGTAATGAAAATGACACGCCTCACGCGAGGTGGCGAGGTGCTGGGCGAAGGTCGCGTCGTGGTATCAGTGACCCAGCTAGCTACAACTACCAGTACCAGTACCAGTAGCAGTACTACCGGGTGTGGTGATGGTAACTGATACCTGTACCAGCAGTGTGGTCGTCCTAGTCAACCATCCGCGTGTGACCAACAAACCAACACCACTGACCACTGACCATGTACGAGGAGCTTGATGTTTTCAAACCGGACTTGTTTTAAAGCTTAAAACCCCCTTCGTTTAGGGATACCCAAAATAAAACTTCCATTAAATTACGGGAGCTCAACCACCTCATTTGTTGAGGATGAAGTAGAGTTAACATTATCTAGCTTATATGATAAAACAAGTAATCAATCAAAATAAACTGACTAAAATAATTTAGAATGGCCGCCAACTTTTTAGTTTTGACGTTATTATGCTTTTCGTGAAAAAGAGAGGTTGAGCAGGTATTGTAGGACGAACAAGATCAGATAGACGACAGATGGTAAAGTTTAAATTGTATTATACCCCAGTTAGACGAAGAGTCAGAAGACAAACCTTATCAAACACACTAAAAGAATACGTGGATGTTCAAAATAATTAGCGGGGCACATACAGATGCCGAACCCGTAGACTTAATGTTTAGGTTGGCATGTTTTACGTCAAAAATGAGTTTATGAGATTAATGAGTTCAGTAGAACGAGCAAGAGCAGAATGAGGATCAATGCTATCCATGTTGATATCTACTCCATCGTTTTGATGAAATCGTAATGTTTGAATCAGACAGAAATGTTCTCTCGTTTGACATCCACATCTGTGTCATCCATGTGGGCAATGAGAAAGACTAAAAGCAGCCGAGCATAATCCATTAAACAACTTTCTACAGTTAAATGATTACCGGAGATGAGTGCCGTGTGTACAGAGGAAGTACGTAGGCCAGCGTGGGCGATGGGATGTCCCATTATATACGGGGAACAATGGTCAATGGCGCAGCGAGACTGTGGTCATCAGCTGGGGTAATTGGTAAATCTGGACTACAACATTCTACATGACAGCGCCTAATTACTAGAGTCGTAGACGCGCATTGAATACCTAAAGAATCTCGATTGCTTACTCAACCCAGTGATACCTCGGCAAAACTACCTTCATGTGGTCATCAAATACACTTCGTAAGCATTGGTCTACGTGCATTTAACGGGCAGTTCAATTAACAACGCAGGCATTTGAAATAACTGAAAAACTACCTTCCTTTCTTGTAACAAGTGTCCTCGTCATTCCTAGTGCAATAATAATGATGAGCAGAACATTCTAATCAAATATGCATATCCAGTTATTACAACTTCGTCCTACCAGTGCATATCCAAGGGTTTACAGCAACCACAGAATTGAAATGAGCCAAATCTGTGGTACAGCTTAAAAGTCAGTAGCAAACCTTGCGTCCGTTTTAAAATATTCCCTTCAGGCTCTTCGTCTATTGACTTTAAATCAGCACTATTGTTCCTCTTTTTAATTGATCATGCATGATCAGTTTCCTTCTAAACAAATGATCAACTACTTAAAGAAAAGTCAACATAAACTGATATCTAACTTTAGGAATTGTTATTAAAAGAACGACTTTCTAATATTCGCTGTGCAGTTCTTCTCTATATTGGATGGTATTTCCAATTTTCACATTAACCCCTAATTTGAATTTATAAAAAGATTGAGATTGTTTACATCACCATATTTTGCAGACTGTGCATCGTTGGATTTTCTTCACCCGATTCGTCTAGTGATCATCATTATATCAAAGGTCAAGGACACCTTTTCACCTGGGAAACTCTCAATCCTCAATCTTGCTGTTCCTCAGGAATACGTACTCGGGCCACTGCTTTTTATGCAAATGAATACTATCAAAAACACTTTATCTTTATGTCCACAAATTGCTTCCTCGACACCACAGTTTGCCAAACAGTGTTGTGTCGTGATGTTGTTGCTACGTCAGAGACATTGACATTGGCCAGGACAATGGCACATTGGCCACGCATCATCAGCCATTACGTTGATGACTGCTTCTTTGTCTAATCCATCGCATTGTCTTTCTTTCTTCCCTGTTTTGTTGTGCTTCGTAGTTTCCAGTGAGTCAACAAATCGGATACTAAAAATTTTTGCTATTAATTCTGCTGCATCAATAAACGAAAGTAGACTACATTCATTTTCATTGTCATTTTTATATTTGTAAACTTACTTTAACTAGTATGGACACATTTTTGTTAAACCGTAAATTCGACGAGAAATTTATATTGTGGTTAGGTTAGGTTAGGTTAGGTTAGGTTAGATTATGTGTTCATGCCAACATAATTTCATATGGGCAAAGTATACAAGTATAAGTCTCATATACTACTGTAGCCAACATAGTTTTCCCCGAGACTAATTTAAATGGCAACCAATTTTTTGAAAACAAAATGGAAAATACAGGAAAAATGTGTAAAAAAGAATAGCCTCTGAAACCATTACCCATGATCGGATCTGGCTGGTTCGCGATCTCGTTATATTGTTGGTCTAAGTGTTAAGCCTAGTACTGTACATTTATTATACGAATATATAATTTAATACGTCATATGTAAAAATTCATAACAGTCTGAACTAATTAATTTACTGCCGAAGCTTTAAAGTAAACTAGTAAAACGTCCTCGGCCATTTTAGGTCCTAAGACTACGTTAATATCGACTTCCAAATGAGGTACAGTATTCGCTAAGGCAAAAGACAAATTTGCTACTAAAGAATACAAAGCATATGTGGTAGCGTAGAAATTGCCTAAATAATATAACAATAGAGTGCAATTATTTTACAAAAAAAATTATGTACTGTAGATGTATAATTAAATGAAAATGTATTGTATAAAGAACGTAGACCAACTTAAAAACTGTATTTAAATTTGTCTTCTCCTATGAGCCAACCTGTGACGTGTAACCACCCCACGTCCTACATAACACCAGCGAATCCCAATGCAATGGATTCTGTATTAGTCCCGGGAATTACCTGAGCTCATGATGCGGAAGTCAGCTGAACGTGGTCAGGAGATTTACGAGAGTCTCCAACGAGAGATTAAAATCGCTTGCTGTATTTCCCAACTTAGCGGCGCCTCGTGTAAACACACACAGACTTTGGCGAAAACAACATTAATGGATGTGAAAATAGTACCGTGCTGAGTTTATTAACAAACTTCAACGAATGACTTAAAATATTTTTTTTTTCAAGATTGAGTAATTAATGTCATTAGTGACTCGGATTCCAGGGACGACTACAAAAAATGTAGCTACTCCCGAAAGGGCTCTGGGGACACTAAGATGTCCCGGATAAAGTTAATTACAGCACTGACCACCAGTGGCGGATCTAGAACAGCCACAAGGGGGGGGGGCAAAACAGGGGGTCTGGGGGGTTCGGGGGTACCCTCCACGCGAAAATTTGGTGTAAACTAAGTCTCCAAAATGGCACGGTTTCATACAATTTCCTTGTCCAAAGTTAGTATGAAAATTTTTTTACGCAATTTGTATGCTCTACTGTATTACATGCAGTAAAAATATATTTATATGTATGTCCGAGGGGTTCGCCCCCCCCCCCTTTGGATCCGCCACTGCTGACCAAGAATACAGATAGGAACAAATAGATGACAATGTAATACAAATAAAAATAAAAATAACACATTTCGGAGTGAAAGCTAACAGAAAAAGATAATTACTTGTAGGCCTACTTGCTTCTTGCTTTCAATTAGGCGAATGGAATACATAAGGGACCATCCTAAAATACTATACATAAAATTACACAAAGTTTCCAACCTGATTAGAGCAACGGCAATGAACAAGCGAGTCAATGGCACGACACAGGCCAAGGTAAACAACATAACCTTCGACAGGTCAAGTGTGTTTGTGTACTTGGCACACTTGCTGGCTTATATGGTTGTTGATGTGATATTGTATAATGGAAATATTCAGAACATTAAATCAAAAGAGAATTCGAAATTGCCTTAACTATTACCCTAAATGTTACATTATTTCGTCGGTGGCTAAGCAAGAATAGAGTGTACTTGTTGTGTGAAATGAAAGAAATGTTAGGTCGGCGCCTAGAGCTAGGTCGTTATCACCAGTAGATGGGAGCATGGGCGACTGTTATCACTTGAACGACCTTGTCATGTCAGCTGAGCCTGACTCATGCTTCTCACTTGATACTTGCACTACACGTAGCTCAGTTTGGTGCAGCACTGCAGTAGATGGGAGGATGGGTGACTGTTATCACTTGAACGACCTTGTCATGTCAGCTG